CGAGGTTCACTAACACGATGTGTGTTAGCTAGTCCACGGGCGAGAGAGAGCCAGTTTCACTATATCAAGGAGATTACATATTACAGAGGATATGAGAAGTATTTATACTTCTCCATGTGGGTCTAAACCTAATCGAATATGTCAAAGGAAACGGTTACAAACCAGGCGCAGAACCCGAACCCAAATAACATTGAGCCCGAATCAAGTCACATTAACAAGATCCTAGTACAATAGCTCCTAGACTTGCAGGAGGATGCTCAAGCTAAGAGACAGAGTCAGGCCATGGCTACAAACGAGAAATGATGAGATCTACTTAGGCATAAATCCGAAGATGGTCTATTATGTTCGAAAGGTTTGGGAAGCTTTGCGTAAAAAGCAGTCCGAGGTCCTATGGTATAAGCTTGTCTGGAGTAAATTTTGTCCTCCTCGATATAGTCTAATAGCATGGCTTATAATAAACCAACGCTATTGTGACTAGGGATAAGTTGTTGATCTAGGGAAAACTGACTGATGCATCTTGCATGTTGTGTGCATCACTAGTGGAATCCCGAGAACATCTTTTCCTGCAGTGCTCCTTCTCTCGCTGACTTGCATCGGCTTTGCATTGCAGACTGCTTATTCCTGGCAATTGGGACGCAATGCTATTTGCAGCAGGATTTGTTGTTCGATCCTTCGGTAAGGCAAGTTGGCATGGAGTTGTTGGGAAATCAGAATATGGTGGAAACAGTTGTGTCTTATTATTGATACCATATAGGGTTTATATAGAGTACATAGACTGATTTCTATAATAACCCTAACACTAATACGACTCTTATAAGGAATATAACTCTGACCAATTACATAACAGTACTCGTAGTATAACATAATACTACTCGTACTACCCATACTCTAATACCCTCCCCAAATTGATGGTAATTATTGACCAACAATTTGAAAATCGAAACAAAAACTAACAAAAAGAAGAAAAAAAAATTTATAACAAAGACACTGATAACTGCTACTAATCCCAAACTTCGCGCCGTTGTTGAAGAAAACCACGTCCAACGAAAACGTTGATGGTGATGACGGGATGTAACGAGATCTCTTTCCAAATCTGCCCTATCGTTCCAAGCACTTGTCCTCCAAAGAAGCTCCAAAAAACTGACTATCGTGAAAACAAACCAAAGATGCTCCGAACAGCATCATCAAACCAAGAAAACCAAATCACAGAACCATGTATACTCCGAACAGTAACACGGTTATCAAGATGCTCCGAATAGCATCGTCGAAACATAAACAGAACCATGTGCTCCAAACAGCAACATGGCGATCAGGATGCTCTAAATAGTATTATCGAAACAGAAAATAAAACAGAAATGCTCCGGACAGCATTTATCAAACAGAGATGTTCCGAACAACATCTTTAGCTAAGGTGTTCCGATCAACACCTTAAAACATAACGAAATCATGATTCTGAATCTCTTAAAGGACAAATAAGAAGGCAGATCGGGAGAGGCTTACTGACGGAAGCACAAAAGGAGGAAATCGTTGTATTTTTGGGCGGCTCCTTTCTTCCCCAGCTGAACGAGCAACGGAAGTAGCGCGGGTTTTCTACAAAAGGACGACTGGACCTGGGGGTTTATTACTCTAGCGCAGTAACTAAACAAATTACTATATAAAATCATGCCAATAACTACTACTGGCGATGATGAACAAAGATTTGGGGAAGGCTACGTACAAAGTGGTTTTAGGGGTTTGGGGAAGAAAGGAACACAAGGAACCAGGAGAGACGGCGCACATGCTGCCGGCCGAAGGAAGAAACTGAGTTTTTTTTTAGGGTTTCTGGATGAAGAACCAGTTGCTCCCAATAACTCGAGTTGTTGGGAGAGATTCAATCGTGGATCATATATCGTTTATTAACACCCCCTTCAAACTCAAGCCATTCAGATAGGCTTGGAGTTTGGACAGGCACAAGCACTACAAAAAATTGCCGCTATCCCGACGGTTTCAAAGCAGGGGTTCACTTAACCCTTGCTATTAATTCCTAAATTTGCGATACCAACGGTCAGTTTCTGCGGTTGGATAACCCCTGCTAGGCTGCTACCTTTAAATCGAAATTATGCAACATCATACTAAAATATTTCCCACCCTTCCTCTCTTATATTAGCAAACCAATTTCTTCAAATAAAAAACAAAGAAAAGGAATGGGAAAATGAATAAAAAAGTAAATCTCTGGCTGGGTCGTTCGCTGGTCCGAAGCTCCGGATCGCGGAGAAATCATAGGACAACGCGATCGTTTCTAGCTTAATTAGCAGGTCGAAATGCCTCACCAATGGAGGATAGAAGCCGATGAGGATAGGGATCGTTTGAGGAGATGAACTCTTGACACGATTCGGCAGATCTAGGGTTTGGAGAGCATAGTAGAGGTTGATGAAGACATTGAAGATAAACCAGTCGACGGTTCTTGAGGCGATGGTAGGGAGGCTTTCATTCGGAGGTATCGATCATTAGGCTAATCCAAGTGATGACGACTGATCGGAGAGCGCTGGCGTTGGTGTCTAAGAGGCGGACATTCTTAATTTTGCTGGATCCATCTCGTCGGTGTCGACAGCACCAACATCATCGCCATTTCAAACACCTCTCCTCCTACGCTTTGCAAAACCCTAGTTTCATCGAATTGAGTCTCCTATCTTTCCTCTTCTTATGGAGTTTTGCTGTTACAGAGCGATTATTACTGGAGCTATTGTGACTGCGTGCTATGGGGAGAGCAGAAGGTGATTATTGAATGTCCAATCAACAAGGAACATGTGTACTTGCCATTCATCTGAAGGCTTTGCAAGTTTCTTACCTTCCCATGGTGGTTCTCCTGCAGCAAGAGCTTGATCTTCGCTCCTCTATCTAGAAACAGGTAGGCCTCCTGTTTATTGTTCAAATGTGCTAAGTTAGGGTTGTCTACTTCATTGGTTGTCTTTTGGTTCATTGGAAGTATGTGTGGAGAGCAACATTTTATGCCTTAGCCACGAGTTCACTTCATTCTACTGCATCTTATCCTGTGATGTGGCTTCCTTGCATGAATACGTCCAAATGTGGGTGGGGGTAGATGAACAAAGTACATTTTTTGGATTGGATGCATTGATATGTTTGCTGCATAATTCTCACCCAATAGTTGATGATTTAAATGATCTATTTACTTCCTTTATTTAGCTCATAATTGAAGTTAGAGGCTCCCTTAATTTGTTACCTTCCTTTTGACAATGCACCATGCAAATGCTCTGAAGTTTATAATTAGTCTAAATTTATTTGTTTTATTTCAGGTGCAAAATCATATTTGAAGGTGAATGGGAAAAGAACCTGTGTTAGGCTGACCTTGCAGAAGTTGAAGCAGCTCCCCTGATGGCACAAATACATTCAAGTCTATAGGTAAGAAACATACACTTGTTGTTTTAGTTCCCTTTATTTGGAGTTCTTAGCATGAGATTCTTCAATCCTTTGCTGAGTTAGTTGTTCAAATGTTTTATTGTTAAGAGTAATGAAGAATGAAAACGATGGATGTTCTGCTTAGCTGTGATTTTAATATTGCACTTTGTTCTGATTAGTATACTCTGCATCTCCAATCCTCACTTATTACTTATAGTATGAAATGCTTATAGCTCATTGTGTTTCTTCTTTTCTAGGCTGCCGTGAAGGCCGCCTCTCAAATCACAACAGTCTGTGACTTATGTCCCTATCTATGACACCCTTGGTAATGGAAGTGTAGTTATGTATTTGATTTTTGTAAATTCATTCCTTTTACAATTTCTTTCATTATCGGGTTAAATTCGAACCATGATTTGTATGTCTTATGTGACATTGAGATTCTGACTCCTATTGTCTGTGGTAGGGTGATATAATTTGTTCTTTTGATAAACCAGATTGAAATTGAAGTACATCAACTGAGATTTCAGTTACCATTTCGATGTAGGCCAAAAACAACTGAGCCTCACTTTGCAACACAGCAGGCTCGTTTGCCATTTGTAGGGGATACACAGTTTTGGATGGTGAAATGTATGATATGCTTTATGCCCTTTGTTGTCCTCTTTGACGATTTTATTTGGTTTCATGTTATGTCTTTTGAATGTTATACACAAGGACTTTTGTACATCAACTAACAAACTTGAGCTCAAATGTTTTAGATGGGCATGACTGAGAGAACAGTTTTCCTCCTACCGAAGTGCATTGATCAAAATGTAAGTAATGAAACAAAATCGGTAATGCTGATTCTTGTGCTTCTTACTCATTTTTTTTAGTTGACCTATCCGCTCATCAGTCTCCTCTGCTTTTTTATGTATGGTTCAATTTGTTCTGATCCTGGTTTTGAAAATCTGTATGGAAATAATTGGTAAAAGTTATTTGATTATAGTCTGCCATAATTGGTAACAGTTATTTGATTCTCCCCCAATATTTGTGTTTTGGATATCGAAGCACTCATCATACTGACATCAGCTAAACTGTTTTGGCCGGTTAACTGATAAGTTACTTCCTGAGAGGCTCTTCCACTTGTGAACCAGCATATATTGAATTTGTCAAGGTAATTCACGGAAACCCACTTTCCTATTTTTATGTTGTTACAATGTCTGAGTTTGAGATTGCAATTACTAATTATTGAGTGCTTTCGCGGTTAAACATGTGTCGGTTTTACATGTTTTGGTTGGTAGGTACCAGAACCATTGGTATGATTCGGAAAATCAATCAAGCTGCTTCTAACCAGAAAGTCCTTGCAACTGTTCAGGCTCTTATTGTTAAATCAGAGGCCGCCTAAAACTGCTGATATCCAATGGGTTGCCTTAATAAGTCAATCTGTTTCAACTTTCAATTGCTTCTGCGCAGTTTGGGTCTGAGAACTCATTGGACACTGCATGGAAGGCAGAGAGAGTGAGAGTCTGAAGTCCATAATCCCATTGTTCGCTTGTCTAGCCAGATGAAATCACTTCTTTATGTACTCTGCTTTTGTTTATGTTCAGTTTACAAGGGAGTTCCCAAATAGTTCAAGATGAACTAGTAAGGCTTGGGGAGCAGATGGTCTCAACTTCCGAAGGTACAAAAGCGTTGGCCTTGGAACTATGCCGTGAATTTGAGGATTAATATCTCCAACATGTTACTACTGGTGAGGTATGTATACAGGCTTGCAAATTTCTCCAACATCTATCTCAAAGTTTGTCTTGCAAATTATTTACATAGCTGATTCTTTCTGCTGCTCCACCAAGTGGAGCTTTTGAGTACATTAAAGAATGCTCTCAAGTATATGTTTATGATGAGTAGTCTTATTTTTATATTTATTGGAACCAATTCAATTTCTAGTTGCAGTTTGATGTACTAGATAATACTTCAAGCTTTAAGTTTTCTCATTTTGATGCTCCTAATGTATTGCAGGGAAAGGAGGGTGTGATTATGAATTTCATAAAGAGCTCCAGGTATCAGGCGATGAAGCGCATAGAGCTTCTCTCCAGAGTAGTACTTGTAAAAGAGGGAATATATCTCATGGGTATTTTCCTTTGGCTTTGAAAAGTAGATCATTAGGTTTTTTTTTTTTTGCCATAGATATCATTAGGTTCTTTTACTGCTACTATGTTTCTTTGGATGATGCTTAGATATTTATGGTAATTAACATTTAGCCATGTAAACAATAGTATATTGAATCATGGTATGAATGATGGAATATATATGCAAAAATGGGCCAGCAACAAGTTTGGTTATGGGTTTTCCTAATAGTAACCAGAGTATTTGTAACCAGCTTTCAGCTTATAGAAACCATATTAGGGTCCCCATTAGCGACAGCTTGAATTCTTAAAAATTTATTTTTAGTGACCATACTGAGTTGGTTGCAAATCTAATTAGTCACGAATTAAGCAAGGGTTTTAACCCTTGCTAGTTTTAGCAACAATTTTGAATTATTACAGGTCTCGCTTTAGTGACCATAATAAGTTGGTTGCAAATTTAATTAGTCACGAATTAAGCAAAGGTTTTAACTATTGTTAGTTTTAGCAACAAATTTTTCAAGGGTTCAAACCCTTGCTACATACATATTTCTATTGAATTTTACATTTCAATGTAGCAGGGGTTGTAACCCTTGGTATATGTAGCAAGAGTTAAAACCCCTGCTACAACCCTTGGAGGGAACTTTCACCGTGGGTTGCTTAAAACCCTTGCTACGTGTAGCAGGGGCAGCATTGGCGAGGGTTCGTTCAGGGGTTGGGAAAACCCTTGCTACAAGTTGTAGCAGGGGTTATAACCCTTGCTATAGGTAAAAAAAACCCTTGCCATAGATCTCTTTTTTTGTAGTGAAGTTCGGACACCGTGTGCTTGACAGAAACAACAGAACAGATGGGGTCACCGGGAATCGAACAGAAGACCTCTCGGTCACAGAAGGCTCTTATACCATGTTGGGAAATCAGAATATGGTGGAAACAGTTGTGTCTTATTACTGATACCATATAGGGTTTATATAGAGTATATAGACTGATTTTTATAATAACCCTAACACTAATACGACTCTTATAAAGAATATAACTCTGACCAATTACATAACAGTACTCGTAGTATAACATAATACTACTCGTACTACCCATACTCTAATAGGAGTTGTATGGTATATGATGTTGGCCTTCATATGGAAAAAGCGATGTGGCGTAGTTCATGGGGAGCCTCATCGAGAGCCGGAAAAGTGACAGGGTTATTGCAGGCGGAATTGCAATACATGGTTACTTGGAATGCCCCGTTGTGATCTGACTTGGCAAGCTTGGGATACCTTTAGTATACTTTCGATTTGCTTTACTTGGGGTTACAATGTAAATAGCTGATATAGAAGGTATAGATGAGTTGGGTAGAAGATTATAGATCCTCGTAGATTTCGTGAGATTCTGCCTCTTTGTATTAGTTCCTCTCTGCATTACTAAAGAAATTGATCCAACGGGGAAAAAAATTAACGATACGGTATTTTATGATGAAATTGTGATTTAATATCTTCATACCGCTAAATACTACTTATCGATGTCGCTTTCGGTGGGAGGTTTTTTCTTATCAAACCTATTTTTTAATCAGTGCTTTGAAAGTCCTATTTGGATGTTGATTGGGGGTTGGAGGTTGTGGTGGTGACGACTTTTATCCTTTTATATTTCTTATCTTTACATAGGTGTGGCAATTTTGTCATTTCTTTTTATTGCTGCTTGAGTGCTTAATTCTGTAATTATAAACCACATTAATGATAAACTATCAGAAAACTAATGGTATGAACTCGATTAGTTAAAAAAGCTAAATACTCTAACCACCCTTAAATATGTATCATTGGAATCAAAGCATGCATATATTATTTCACAATTATAATATGTGGGGATTCTTATAGTTACAGCTACCTCTGAAAGTTGGTAGTTGGGAATCCAATAATTCAGGACTACATATAAGAAATTAGATCTACTTATGTTCCCCATAAGGCCATCAAAGATCCCTTAATTATTTATGAAGGACCCACAAAAAAAGAAAATTATTTATAAAGGGCCCAGTCTAGTATTTAGTTACATTCAGTGATATGATATCAGATTGAATGTTTTGCAAGGAAAAAAATGTACATTAGTTGTGGCTGGCAGTGGTATTATAGATGATAAGAAATTGAAAAAAAATGTACATTGAAAAAAAGAAATTGAAAAAATATACATTGAAAAAAAAAAACCATTTACAAGAGACCAGTTGATATGTGATTTTTCCAATATGAAACAATTAAATAAACATTGACTTAGTGAGGATATTATTTAGGGGTGTCATATAAAATACACATATGTGATCTCATATTTCATATTGCGAAATTATTTTAAACTACCAATATTTTTATATTTTTAACTATATGAAATCGTTTAAACTACCAATATTTCACTCATAAAGCATCCCACCAAATAAGTATTCACAAATTTTGTTCACTTTATGCGAAGGCTGGTTAATCATTACAGTGCGGAAAATATTATCAACTTGTGCATTGATGTATTAATGTAGAAGATTTGATGACTGATATTGTAATTTAGGGTTTAATATTATTATTAACGTACTAATACTACTAATTTTTTGTGTTTCTCTCCAAATCTAAGGGACTGTCACTGGTTTAAAACCAATGATTAAAAAACCACATCGTACCAGCGGTTCGACGAGAAAAATCTTCTACCGGAGGATAAACCAGTATGATGTATTTAGCAGTATGAAATGATTAAATCATAATTAGACCATAATTTAACATAAAATACCATATCACTGACTTTTTCCATACAACAGTAGGATTTTACCAATCTTTTCCTTAACCACAAAATAGTTCATACTTGCATTGCATAGTAACCACTACCTGCCACCGGCTGACTAGTGTGGATTCCTCTAGCCCCAGTCAATTAAAGAAACGACGCGGGCGCCAAGCAGGACCAGCGCTGCCACCGGCCTCAACTTGCCGTCCTCTATAATTAATTTGCATATCCTAGCTACTTATTAACAATCATTGGCTTAATTTGAACGTGCTAAATCTTAGAACGCCCAATTTTCAACAGGGGAATATTGGTGAGCATGGCTTAATCGTTTGAGATCTAACTTTGTTAATTAGCGCACCGCGGATGTAATAATACTGCATATATTAATATTATTTGCATTTTGTTGCTGGCTTGAAGAATAGAAGGTACCCCAAATCAAGGGCGAACATCAAATTTGGATATTAGAACCTACCTCAGTAGCGTGATTTCATAGTGCATATCTTTTTGTAAGAAATGTTATTCTTGTGGTTTTATATATTGGTTCGATCGGTTGAATGTGTTGAACATGATACATACGAAGGATAAATTGCATGAATGGCGTTTGATATCATATGAGATCTGTGTGCTATGTATATCGAGTAAGGAAAAACGGGAGCATCTGTTTTGCGGTTGCAGTAATACTACTGATTGTTTGCAGGCTGTTATTGGGAGATGGTGTTCAACCTGGCCGACAAGCTAGGATGCTGGCCTCACCAAAATGAGTAGATTGACACATAGTAGAGGTGCTATGGGACGAGTGGAAAGCGTTCTGTGGTGCTGGTGTATTGCTCAAGTCTGGAAAGAGCGCTGCAATTGAGTTTTTGTCGACGGGAAGAGATCGTAGCAGCTGCTTTGTGATCAGCTGAAGGTTGAGATCATGCGAGAAGTAGTCAGTTTGATAGCAAAATTAGATCACTACCTCATTTTTCTTGTTAATTGGTCCTTTTACTTTGAGTTTTTCAGTTTTCGTGTCGTGTCATCTTATTTTTTTCAAAATTTTTAGGCTGGACCTGGATACGATTTGAATTGTGTCGTGCTCATATCCATACTTAATGAAAATGAAGAAAATAAAAGAAGAAATGAAAAAGAAGGAGAAAGTTGAAGGTGAACAAAAGTATTAATCGAGCATGTTTGAGAAAAGTAACAGATAAGGAGAAGAAGAAAATAGAGTATTGCGGATGTGATTTAGCCTCCGAGTGTTCTTTAATTCGTTGACTATTTTCGTTTATGATAGTAATTACGTACAATATGTTTATGATCACTTATAGCAACAATAAATAATTATTGTGCAGTTTTATTTATAATATTTGAACTTATAATTTTTTTTATATATATTTTTTCCTATGAAAGAAGTATTTTTCGTGTCATATCGCGCTTTTACTCAATAGAGTCTCAAAAATATTAGGTCCAGCACGAGCCACCTACAGACCGTGCCATGCACATGTTCATGAAGTTTAAATTTGGCGCAACCCTTCAAGTATTTGTGCTCCTGCCAAACTAGTCCATATATTCGTATAAGTACCCGTATCGTGCCGTACTAGTCTCGGTGCCAACTACAGATATGATATAGTTTTTAATCCTTACTTAAAATATCAATCAAACCATAAAACAAACCAAAAATAGAGAAGGGGGGAAACATTGACGGAGGAGCGGGGACAATCACTTACACCAGGACTTCCCTATTCCCTCCCATCCCCTTCCCTTTTCCCATTTTCCCATCTTTCCAACCTTGTTGGCTGTTGCAGAACCCAGAAGGGTAAAAGTCTTTTTGTTTGTATTTGACAAGTAGGGGAAAGAAGAAAAAAATCCCTCGTTCGTGAGTAGAAAGAATCTATGGTCTGAAGGGCCCTCCCTATTTACGTTCAGTGGTTACATTGCTGGTGGCCGTGGGAGCAGACTGCAGAGTGCTTGGCCAAATATCTCTTTCCTACTTGCACAGTGCATAATAATGTCTAATGCACTGTCCCTCCCAGGCTACTGGCCGGCTAGTATGGAAAATGACTCCACCACCCAGTCCCAGTGGACGAAACGCCGCGCCAAGCGCAAAGCAGGACCACCCACTCCCACCGCCCTCCGTCTACTTGACCTCGAATTTAATTTCCAACGCAAACCCTAACTGTTTGAGCTATAATCTTGTCAGCTATCCAACCTCCCCTTCACATATAATATTTACTAGAGCTATTTTTGCTACTATTTGAAACCTCTCCAAAATAAGTGGTCTGAATCTTTTTGTAAAGCTACCAGAACCACACAAAATCCA